GGGGGCTCGTCCGGGATTTGGGGGACCCCAGACCCCCACACTCCATCGGCCAGACGGAGGTAAGTTTGCTTACTTGTGTATCATTGTAACTGTGGTTTGTACTGTTTGTCCTTGTCTGCCAGGACGACGTGGAATCCGTCCTGGGGCGCCTGTACAGGCTCAGTACTGACTGGACCGAAGGGGGAGACAGACGTGTCCTGAGGCCCCTGGTCCAACCCTGGAGGACGCTCCAGTGGTGGTCTGGGAAGGAGGAAAAGAGGGAATTTCCTTTCTTCCAGGGGAGAGCCTGGCCAGACTGCCGCTCCCTTCTGATAGTTTCGGTTTTGTCTCGGTCTGTTGCCGCGCGGCTTGTGATTTGTGTTCTGTGTGTCGCTGTTTTTGTTGTCCTTTATCTCTTACTGTCTCCCCCATCTGTTTTTATTGTTGTGTTTGATTGCTAGATGTATACTTGTATGAAAAATGTGTATTGTATTCTTATAATGTGTTAATTATGTCTACCTCTCAATGCAACTCTAGGGCCAAATGTAAGGACAAATTTTTGGGCTGGAGAGGCTTGTACCTAGATTTGGCTCTGGTAACCAAGAAACTTTGCTGCCGAATGACCTTCTCCTGCTCCTTGGGAGCCTGGCCAGTTCCCGGGGAGGAGGATAAAGGAATGTTTTCTGATAAACAGGTGGGCATGCTTCATGTCTCGGCTCTCTGGCCAAGACCCGAGATGGGACGCACTGCTTGCCTAAAATCTTGGCAATGAACCACCCTTGTCCTTGGAGGCTTTAGGGGGGAGCCGGAGCAAGCCTCTGTTGCTGCTGTTTCATCCTGGGGGAACACGCAGTCAAGCTAAATGTTAAATGTGCCCGTAATGATTACATGATCAATTGGCTACTGTGATTGAGGTGTTCTGTGACAGTCCCTTTAATAAAAAAATTAACAAAATGGATTAATAACAGGACATTCAGGACCTGACGCTCTGCTTGGTATGTCATTACAAAAATCATCAAGGAGGGCTATGCCTGATAAATGAGGGTGCTATAAATGTGGGCAACAGGGACATGTACAAAAATTGTCCAGAAGTCAAAAATCAAAATAAGGCTCTTCCTGGGATTTGCTTCCAGTGCTAAAGGGAAAGGCATTGGGCCAATAAGTGTCACTCCAAAACTGATAAAGAAGGTAATTCATTAAAAAACAGAGTTCAGGAAACTGGAAGCGGGGCCAGCCTCAGGCCCTCCCTACAGGGATCAGTGGACCATCTTGCTATAGTATCATTAAAGCAATAGAGCCATGTTTATTACAACATTCTGTTAATCTATGCTCCTTTACCATCTTTCCTGTAAATAATTTTAGTGTGCACTACAAGGCTTGCAGTGTATTTCTTGCAGATTAAAAGTAACTAAGTCTGTGCACAGCAGACAGCTAAAAAGTAATTTACTGTCACAAATTGGCGTAGTTGGCAGGATCTGCAAGTATGCAAAGCAATGCCTTTCTTTAAAAGAAAAACTGAAGTTGCATGTGTAACCTGTGATGTTCCTGGCTGAAAAGACCTTCAGTTCGCCTCTTTGGTGAAGGAATGGGCTCTCTGCTCAGAATCGAGTGAGAATTGGGATGGCAAGTTACAGAGTGCACAGCCTCCACAAGTTATTGAGGTTTTGCTATCAGTGCCGGTGGAAAAGGGGGATGAACTATAGGCTTTGGGGAGGTGAGAATGGATTTTATTATCTGCAGACTGATGCATGTGTAAGCAATTAAAAAAATAAGTACAGAATAAATGTAAATTTAAAAAAATGCTGCCCTTTAGAGTCAAACTGCTAGGTAGTGGTAAAAAAAAAAAATTATATCAAGCTCCTGTACTGCTGCCAGGGCCAACTAAGATTATTCAGTGTAAACAATACAGAATTCCAGGTGGATATGAGGAAATATCTAAAACAGTAAAAAAAAAATTATCTTAGTGCTGGAGTGATGATTCCCATAATCACTAAAAGGAATTATCTAATTTGGCATGTTAAGAAATCAGATGAAACCTGAAAAATGACTGTAGATTACAGGAAATTAAACAAAGTTACTCTCCCATTGACTGCTACAGTCCCAGATACCATCATTTTGATGTAAAAGGTCACAAACATAAAAGCGTGTTCTTAATAAAAAAAGTTTAAAAAAAAAGAGATACTTTTAAATAAAAAAGGGATATGATTTGTAAAAATTGTTTATCTTAATGGCTGGTTTATACTGGAATAAAAAAGGGGGGAGAAGAGAAAGGTTTGAGCAAGTTACAGAAGGTGTAAAAAATCGCAAAATGTTATGAGAAGAAGAAATCTTTGGTTATTTGACATAAAATCAAAATCTGATCCTCTGTTAAAACAATGAGTTAAAGTAATCTATTATGTTCTCTTGATGTCTCTGTTAAATTCTAACTGCTTAAAAACAGCTGTAAAAAGAGCAATAGTAAAATGGAGGGATCCTATCACCAATCAATGAAATGGACCTGATCCAGTACTGGTATGAGACAAGGGCTCCTAAGGGATGGGTTTTTCCGTGTAACCAACATGCCTTTCTGCAATTGCTCCCTGGGCCGTGTGGCCCTGATGCTAACATCTGTATTTACAGCAGCAGATAGAGCACGTCGGCGGTGTGCTTTACCTGAAGACTACAATAACAATCATCCTAATAGGAGAGGACACTGCCCTTGCCATGGCTGCATCAGTAGTAAGTGTTCCTGGACTGGCTTTTGGAAATAATCGTGGACTATGAAGGCTTACATGTTTGGTGACGAAAGCAATCAATCTTACTGCTACTGTGCTATCCAATATAGCCAAAGAATTGGATCAAGTTCACTCAGGAGTGCTTTTAAGCCATGCAGCTAACAATTACTTGCTGTTAAAAAAATCATATAAGTTGTAAATCTGTACCTGGGGGATGTTATTTTAACATTACTAACAATGTGCCATATATAGAGTCCGTTATTGATAAACTTAAGAGTAAAATGCAACATATGTTTATTACTAACCCACTATTCATTTAAAGGGTTTCAATGGATTCATTGGTTATTAATGTTGGCTGAACTGTTACTGCTCTTCTTACTTTGTATGGGATGTATTCTGTGTGTTCTGCATTTTATGCTGACTTCCCTATAGTATGAATGGACTGAGATTCATCATTTAAAACTTCGTACCAAGCCTCCTTTGTAATCAAAATAATTAATATTTGGCTGTATGTTTCATCTCTCACCTAATGTTGGGCTGGAATGGTACTCAAAGACGGGTAAGACGCTCAGCATCCTGTACCAACCTAAGACAGGGCTCTAGGCCAAGCTGCCAGAGTTACCAATGACGGGTAAGGACAGAGATGACTGAGGGCAACCTAAGACAGAGGCCATTCTCAATTTAATAAAAAAAAAATATAAAAACCCATGGCTGGCCATGGGCCCACATGCTAAGGCCTGGCTTGCTGATCATTGGCATTAGTCCTCACGCAACAGTATCAAGCCCTGGCCACCAGTGACCGTATTGAAACCCCTCATTAACGGCACACAATTTTAGGATTAAAATTAGTTCAAAGAGAAAATGGGGGAATGAAAGGAGCCAAGAGCCACCATAAAAAAATGGGGCTCCTGAGACAAACCGTTCCAGAGACGGCCTTGGGAAATGGGGAGTAAACCGGTTCACAGAGAAAGCAGTCAGCTACTAACCAGAGATACACAGAAAACCTGCCTTGTAGATAAGCCCCTTCCCTACACTTGCTCAAGGTTAACTAAAAAAGCTACAAGGCACATAGCAACCTATTCCTCTCTCCTAGAAACCCCCTCCCCTAATGTATCCCTTTGACCTAGTACTTTTCCACCGACATTACCACTTTAGACTGCCATACAAGGCCCGCTACTGAAAATTATCCAATGAACTTACGCCAGCCTATAATATGTTAATTTTGTGGTTTTGCCCTTTAAAAGCTGTGTGAGATAGCTGCTCGGGGCTCCTCTCACTTGCTTGCTGCTTGCAGCAGTAGGGGGCCCATTTGTACAAATGAAATAAAATTACCTCCTGTTCTATTGCATCGTCTGGTCCGGAGTCTGTGTTTCTGGGGTCGTCACAAGAGGACACCGCTTTTGGGGTCCTACAGGATCAGCGCGGTGCGCCACGGCAGCCATTGGAGGGTGAACCAACGGCAAAGGAAGACCTTTCTCTCTCTCCCTCACTGTCCACTCTGCCTGTTAAAAAAAAAAAAAAACACACACACACACAAAACAAATGTAGCACATTATCCCCACATCATTATCATCCAAGGTTCAGTTTCCTCTTGATGCTGTACATTCTGTGGGTTCAGACAAATGTCCAACAGCATGCGTCCACCATTTCTGGGTCACACAGATGGCCTCACGGCCCTGAAGATCATCTCTGTGCCTCCTTCTGACACACGGCAGCTGCTGCTTTTTTTATCTCCTTTTCCAGAACACCATAAACTTGGAATCATAGAGTATGTGGTCACTTCAGATTTGCTTCTTTGACTTGAGTATACAACCTTAAGCTTCTCGGGTATCTTTTCAAGCCTTGATAGCTTATGGCTTTCTTAGCACTGGATAAGATCCCACTGTCTGCACATTTAAGAGTTTCGCCATTTGTTGTGCCCAGATCGCCGGATCTCCGAATGTCGCCAGAGACTTGAACACACCGAAATGCAAGAGCAGGGTTTAAGAGCAGGGCTTATTTCGGAAGTACAAGCCGCAGCAGGCACCCCTCTACTCGACCGCGCAGCAGAGGGCAGAGGAAGGCCCCAGCCGGTCCTGGGAGCCTCCTTTAAAGCCGGGTTACGTCATCGAGGGGTGTGGGGTAACAGTGGATTGGCTGGGGTCACCTCTGGTGCTTCCTGATCAGACGCGGCTGCTCCTGATTGGGTCAGACCAGGGGATTTCCTTATATGGTGAACGCTAGCGAGCTGTTCCGCTGTAACTCGCGGGTTCCCCAGTGAGGCCGCTTTTACAGGAAGTCGGGCCTGCCTCTCCGATTGGAGCCGCTTTTTCGGAAACGTAGTTACTACGGCCCTTCACCATTCACCTACTGAAAGACATCCTGATTGCCTCCAGGTTTTGGCTGTAAGCCAAAATGAAGATACCTGTGCTGCTTTAAGCATTTGTGGAGGTAAGTTTGCGCTACTTTGAGCAGACATCAAGCAGCACGATTGTTGGAGCAAGATTATGCTTAGCTTTGTTAGAAATTACAAAACTGTCTTCCAGAGTGGGCACACTATTTTGCACTCCTACTACCAGTGACAGAGTTCCAATTGCTCTGTCCTCTGCGCTCGGTGTTGGCCAGTCAGGGATTGTCATGATGTCTATACACCTGTTGGAATGGCCTGAAACAACAACACTAAGCAAGATAGGAATTTTAGTAAATATTTTATTTTAGACTAGTTTTAAATCTACAAAGAACTTATGAAGAGAGCACAGAGAGCTCCCAGATCTCCCACAGTACATTTTCACAACTGATAGACAAACATTGATACATTACTAACTAAACTCCATACTTTATTCATATTTCCTTCCTCTTTTACTCAACATTCCTTCTTTTTCCCATCCAGGTTATAACACATTCAATTATCATAGCTTCTCAGGATCATTTTGGCCATGGCAGTTTTCAAAACTTGACTTGGTTTCGATGACCTTGGCAGTTTTGAGGAGTGCAGGTCAAGTATTTTACAGAATATTCTTTAATTAATGTGTGTCCTTTATTTTTCTAACGATTAGGCTGGATTTAAGGATTTTCAGAGGGATATCAGAGTGAAGTACTGTTCTCATCACATCATGTAATGTTTATAACATTTTTATTTATTTGTCATTTTATCTGCAAGCCAGGGAGACAAAGAGAGGGATCTTCCATGTATCTGCTGGGTCACTCTCTAAATGCCTGTAATAGCCAGCACTGTGCCAGGCTGAAGCCAGGCACTCTGAACTCCATCCAGGTATTCCACAAGGGTGGCAGGAACTTAAGTACCTGAGTCATCTCCAGCTGCCTCCCAGGGTGTGCGCTGGCAGGAAGCTGGATTGAAAGCAGAGCAGCTGGTATTCAAAGCAGACACTGTAATATGGGATGTGGACATCCCAAGCAGCAACTCAAGCACTGAGTTAGGTGCCCATCTGCACACCATGGCAGTTAATTATGACTTTGACATCTGGAATTTTGATGGGAGAGAATCCACAAATAGCTCTGAACAGGAAACTCAGCTTCAGTTCTAACACAAGTGGCTGGAGCCTGTTTTCTGAGATTAGAGTTTATGAATGCCTTGGAATGTGGGTCCTATCCTTGGAAAAGATATTTATGGGATACAAACAATGCTATTAGAAAAAGAATGATCAGCTGGCGCCGTGGCTCAATAGGCTAATCCTCTGCCTGTGGCACCAGCATACCGGGTTCTAGTCCTGGTTGGGGCGCCAGAGTCTGTCCCGGTTGCCCCTCTTCCAGGCCAGCTCTCTGCTGTGGCCAGGGAGTGCAGTGGAGGATGGCCCAAGTCCTTGGGCCCTGCACCCCATGGGAGACCAGAAGCAGGAGAAGCACCTGGCTCCTGGCTTCGGATCAGCGCAGTGCGCCGGCTGCAGCGCGCCGGCTGCAGCGGCCATTGGAGGGTTAACCAACGGCAAAGGAAAACCTTTCTCTCTGTCTCTCTCTCCCTCACTGTCCACTCTGCCTGTCAAAAAAAAAAAAAAAAAAAAGCTTTAAAAAAAAAAATGACCTAGGGGCTGGTGTTGTGGCTCAGGGGGTTAAGCCACTGCTTGGATCACTGAAATCCCATGTTGTAATACTGGATAGAGTGCCATCCCCTTTGATTCAGATCCAGATTCCTGCTAATGCACTTGGGAGAACATCAGATGACGGTGCAAGTACTTGGGCCCCTACCTACACATTTAAAGAGACCCACATGGAGCTCCTGGCTTCATCTGCTAGGCTGTTACCATCATTTGGAGAGTAAACCAGCAGATGGAATATTTCTCTCTTTCTCTCTGTCACTCTGCCTTTCCAATGAATAATTTTTTTTAAAAAAAAAGAAGCACAGGTTTTGTTTGTTTGTTTAACTAAGAATGGTTTACAGGTCTGCATCTCAAACCTATCTGGTTTTGGCATGATGGAAAATTTTCCCAGTACTCAATCAGGAAGTTAGTCTAATAATGAAGTGGATCCTCCCTCCACACTTCCTTTGCTTTGTCATCCTTCTACTCTCTAACAATTTCACAAATCCATGGATGAGTTAGAGCTACCCATCAAAAAATATCTGATGAAGATGCTTCAAAATATCTGTGGAAAATAAAATTAAAATATATATTTACCTTGGTGCAAAGTTTTTTCAACTCCATGCAGTTTTTAAAGAATGTGCATCATTTATGAATTTTTAAGCTATCATTCTTAACTAAATTTGACTTACCATAATACCTAATTGAACTGCATGTATATAGCGAGTTTATATTTGTTTCCATTTACACAAAAAGATTAAAATCAGATTTGCAGCATCGCTGAAAAATTTAAGCATTTATTTTCTTATATTCTATCTTTTTTTTAAATTTTAAAGTCCTTGTCTCCCCATCTGGTATAGTTTTCAAAAAGCACTAAGAAGGGAGAAAGACAAGAGAAATCTAAAGAAGGGCACATGGATGGTCTTCAGGTAGCATCAGATGTGTTGAAAAACTGACAGTTTAACTGTGCTGAGCTATTCCTGTGCCCCTAGTTCATAAACCCTTAACTTGTAGAACTTAAGTGGCTTCACACAGCTGCACAGTCACTGACAGTCACCCAAAGAAGCTTACACTGGCACACAGCCCAGATTCCTGCAGTGTCACAAAGTTTGACAAATACAGATGATGTACTCTAAGAGACAGGTAAATCCATCAGTTTTCCTCTCGTGGAAAACTGCTACACTAAAACATGGAGAACATTCACCGTGATGTTTGGAAAGTATGAGTATTGGCAGATGAGGGATCAGTCTATTGGCAGTGGAATTAAACTTCTACATTTTTAATAGGCAAGCCACCAACCCCAAGATTGTGCTGTGCATTGTTTGCTAATTGTTATTCTAGAATAGAGTATTTTGTGTTGTAATAAGAAATGGTACCATTAGAATTCAGATTTCTCTAACTCTTTGCACTACCATTTTGTTTTTATTGCTGTGATCTGGAACTGATCTTTGACATTGAGGATGACTTTAATGTTTGGCAAATGAGAAGTAGAATCATGGCAGAAAAGCATCTATTTGACATTTTAATCTGCTTCCTTAAAAAAATTAATTTGCCAATTCCTTTAAACTGTTCAGACACCCTGGAATTCTGATTGTACATCCAATATTACTAAAGCATATACTTTTTTTTCTAAAACTAAATGGAAACCTATGTGTTCAGTTGAGATTTCAATGCTCCTAAACCCTGTGTACCTCTAAGCTATCCACTTCTTTATAATTTGTGAAAAGATGCCTTAATATTGCAGAAATATTTAAAGTGAATATTTACTTCATGTATTTACAATCTAGAATTTTAATTCCTATGATTTTTCTGCTTGGCCAAAATTTGCTAATATCAAGGTTGGGAAAATTATGAATATTTCCCCATGACTAAACCTTCTACCCAACACATGTCATTATTGCCTTTGTCCCCTAGAACCCAACTTGGAAATATTTATTAACAACCTTTCTCATAATAAAAATAAGCGCACAATAATTATGCAGCATTTGTGTCCCAATTTCTTCCTTCAGGTTGAGAAAAATTTTTAACATTCAATTTATTTTTTCTATGTTTCTTCTTCCTTTTCCAACAATAAAAAATTTTTTATCCTCAGGACCAGGAAATACTTTTGAGTTAAAAATAATGATAAGAAATTCTTGCTTCACTTAAAATATCTTTTAGGGGTTAGCCAGCAGTTGCTTAGGGAATTGTCTAAGAGGGTGAAAAAAAGATAGGCATGGATTTAAGAAGTACTGACTCTTAGATGTTTTGACAAAGAAATGTGTGAATTAAGAAGTCCTGTGTGGATATTCCCGTTATTGCAACATGTCTAAGAGCACAAACAAGTGTAAGTGGGCATAGGTATCCCCAGACCAATCACCTGGTAGATGCAGAAGCCCCTGGATGACTCACATTAGGCCAGAACAACTTTAGGGGTCAGTACAGAAGAAAGAGGGATTTGAGAAAATTTAAAAAAAAAATCAAAGTTAATTAAGACTTATTTTGTAATGTTAAAAGTTTCCAAAATCTTATCTATTTAATATATTTTAAGAAAATTTTACTTAAGATATACAAATTTCATGCATTTCATATGTACAGATATAGAAATATAGTGATTCTTCCTATCATACCCTCCTTCCCACCCTTTCTTCCACCCTTTTTCCTCCTCTCTCTCCTATCTCCAATCTTAATTTTTACAAAGATCTCTTTCTAGTCTACTTTCTACTCATAAGATTAACCTCACAGTAAGCAAAGAGTTCAACAAATAGTATGAAGAATAAAAAAAAACAGACTCTCTTTGTCAACAATAGAGACAAAAGCTGTGGACAATCATGGAATCTCAATATATCAATTTCACTCCTATGCGTTAAATTTTAGATACTCTATTAGTTACCTCAGATAAGGGAAAATACATGGTATCTCTTTTTTGGACTGGCTAATTTCACTACATATAATTGTATTTCATCATCTTTCTTCAAGTGTTTAACCCTATGTCCCTACTTTCCTCTTGTATTCCCACCTTTCTTTGCTGTGCAGTCCCTGCCCTTCCCCCTTCTTCTTCCCCGTCTTCTCATTTCTTGTCTACTCAGATAATTATTCAGTGTGCTCATTCAACTCACCCAAGCCAGAAGCAAGAAGCTTCCTGGATACCAGTTGTCCACAAAGCATGTTGAGTTATTGGGTTTAGGGGATACCTTTGATTTCTATTGCTGCCTAACTAATGACTGCATATGTAGTGGCAGCAAGAAACACACATCTATTATCTCATATTCTGGGAGCAGTTTAACTGGCTCCTGTGCTTAAGGTTTTACAATGAGGCTGTTGGTCAGGATGCCTTCTTTTCTGGAGGCTCTAATGGGGAAGAATCGTCTTCCAGCTTCACTCAAGTTGTTGGCAGAATTCTTTTTCCTTCTTTTGTGGGATTGAGAGTCCCAGGTGGTATCTGAGTATTAACGGATGACACAATATAATGGGACTGCCTTCAGCTGTAGAGGTTATGCGTAGTCCCTGGGTGTTGCTTACTCCAGTTTCTGGCTCTATGGTCTGTCCATCATGGACACATACTTGAACTAACCAGTGAGGAGAATCTTCAGCATGAGTTTATCAGCAGTTTACCAGACTCTTACATACTGTAATGCAATTGCAGGAGTGCCATCCTGTCACTGCTGCCATATTCTACTGATCAGAAGAAAATCACAGATTCCACTCACACTCAAGGGGAGCGCATTACACACAAGGTAAGTGAATTATACAAAGTGATAGGTAGCAAGAAGTTGAGATAATGGGGATGTCATCTTCACAGTGTATTGTGTCCATTATGGGGGAGATTGGGTAGGAACTCTACCTATCTATTTATTTATCCATCTCTCCATTATCTATCATCTGTCTGTCTAAAATATTTGCATTCCTTGAAATTTATCTCTGAGAATAGCCAAAGGGTAACACTGAGCTTAAAGGTACCCTAGCGTGCTGATACTCTCCATGTTTTATAGGTATGCTAGATGTGCTCAGGGCTGTCTTTATGGCTCTCAGGGAGCACATACAGGAATCTGCAACGAGATCCATATTGCTCTTACGCTATGCCCACTCAAGTACCTTATGCACAAAAGCATTCAACATTCATATTGAATCCATAGCCTCTTCCCATTAAACCTGTTTGAGTCCAGAGACTAGTATATCAAGTATTCATATTTATTGAAATACTTTGACTACTAGGAAAAATTAACTGTTAACATGTAAGCTCTGGAAGGAATCCAAAAGGAGTTTGAAGAGATGTACTCATAATTCTACTTGTAGAATTTCCAGAGGTAGTAATATCAAGTGGAAAATGGGCACTGAAATTCAATAAATGATTTACTTTCTCTGCTGAAATGCATGTAATCCTTTACCTAAAATGTTATATTTTAAGCTTTCTTCCTACAAATGTCTGTACTAGCACAAAATAATTAATCTATACATTAATACTTTGAAAGATCCCATATAATTGGTGCAGATGGGACAATGGCCACACAGGTGTTTAAACCAGTGCTATTTGTGTGTCTGTGTAACATTTGTTGGTTATTCATTAAAGATGCAGTTGTCAGAAAACTTGTAAGTGGTTAAAATGCTTCAGAGTTGGGGCATTGACAGCGTTGTTATTTATGAATATGGGCCAGTCCCTGGAACCAATGTCTAAGAAATCACGGCATTATCACAGTCCATGAGGTGTTACAGGTTACCAAAGAAGACTTTTGTCATGTTTCATTACATACTATGTATGGATAAGAGCCATCTGAGAGATGTGAACGAAAAAGAATGAATTTTAAAATGGCAAAGCTAAAGTTGAAGTACATGGGAGCTATGATTCAAAAATATGACTTCTTTTTTTTTTTTAAGTGTTGATGTTTTATTTGACTTAAAGATCCAATTATGAACTCTCAGTCTTTTGGTCCAAGTTTGGCTCAGATGAAGATTAAATATACCAAGCTCTAGTATTCTTAATTTTGTAATTAAGAGCTGGCTTGATAGGCCAAAGAAATGCAAAAGATAAAGAGAAGCACAGAAATTTTTCAAAAGAGTAAAAATAAAAGGCAAAATTCATGATTTGCACTGTAGAAGAGACAGTTAAAAAGAGAGATTAGATCAGAATACTCCTTGCAAAAGATGGGGAAATCCCAAATTTCAACAAATAACTAGGAGTGAAATACAGAAGGGAATTCCTAAAACTGTAAATGGATGTTATAGAACCAGGAGTAACAGAAGGAGGGATTCCAGATTCCAATATTTACCATGAAGCTTTACTGAAGCCTCAAATCTATTTGGCCAGGTGTTAGGAAAGTTCTGGGGGAGTTCCAACCTTCCACAGAGACTCAATTGCTACAATATGTAGATGATCTTCTTTTTAAAGATTTATTTATTTATTTATTGGAAAGTCAGAGTTACACAGGAGAGGAAGAGACAGAGATCTTCCATCCATTGGCTCACTCCCTGAATAGCTTTAATGGCCAGGGCTGGGCTAGGTGCAAGGAACTTCTTGATTTCCCACGTGAGTGTAGAGGCCTAAGGACTTAGGCCATCTCCTGCTGCTTCCCAGGCATATTAACAAGGAGTTGGATCAGAAATGGAGCAGCTGGGACCCACACAGGTATCCATTTGGGATGCTGGTATTTCAGGTGGCAGCCTAATCCATTATACCACAATTCCAGCCCTGAATGCTTCCTTTTTCAAAGGTGTGACAGACCATTGGATTATTCTAATTAATAAGTAGACAGAATCCAGTGTGTACATTAATCAGAGAAAAAGAGAACTTGGCAGATTGCTTCTTTCCAATTATTAAACCACAAATATGTATAGCATCTCCACAGTAAGGATGTCTTTTTTTTTGTTGCCTAATACGATTTTTTTTAACTTTTATTTAATGAATATAAATTTCCAAAGTACGAATTATGGATTACAATGGCTTCCCCCCCATACCGTCCCTCCCACCCACAACCCTCCCCTTTCCCACTCCCTCTCCCCTTCCATTCACATCAAGATTCATTTTCGATTATTTTAATATACAGAAGATCAGCTTAGTATACATTAAGTAAGGATTTCAACTGGCTGAAAAGCCCATGAGAGTATTTCAGGCATGGAAAGCCAAGACACTCTGGCAAAAGATCTCTGTGAGTGAGATCTCAGTGGAAAGAACAGGTCTTCAAAGAAGGAGGTACCTTTCTCTGAAGGGAGGAGAGAACCTCCACTTTGACTATGACCTTGTCTAAACAAGATAAGAATCGGAGAACTCAGAGGGCTTCCATAGCCTTGGAAACTCATGACTGGAGCATAGGGAGATTACTGATGCCATAGACAGGAGTGTCAATTGGTAAAGTCAACAACAGGAGTCACTGTGCACTTACTCCTCATGTAGGATCTCTGTCCTTAATGTGCTGTGCATTGAGATTTAATGCTATAACGAGTACTCAAACAATATATTTCACTTTGTGTTTCTATGGGGGTGCAAACTGTTGAAATCTTTACTTAATGCATACTAAACTGATCCTCTGTAAAAAAAAAAAAAAAAAGAAAAAGAAATTATCAACTCCCAACTTGACTCTCACTGGGATTAAACATGACAATAGGTCTGATCTGATTTCATCATCATTTAAAAAAAATCATCTATTATTTTTCACTTTATGTTTCTGTGTGGGAGCACACTGTTGAAAATATGACTTCTTATTGAAGCTCACTATTATGGGAACAATTCAGACTTCAAGCCAATATTCCAGCAGTGTGTCAGGCGCTATAGGACCTTCTTGGAGAAAGCCCTCTGAGAACTGAGCATGCCCTACAGGCCACCATGTGCTCAAATGTCAGGGTGTTCCCCAAGCCCAACTTCAGTTGTCTTTCTCTTATCTTAAAAATTCATTGCTGATGGAAGTCAGTTGTAAATACAGAGGAATAAATTAAAGTCTTCTTAGACTAGTTGAGCCCTCAACTTTGCCCCAGTTACAAAAACAGTAGAACAAACAGTACAGAACAACAAAGTAGAACATGATGACATGGTAAAACACAATTTGAAGGCCCAGGTCAGATCCAAGCCTGCGGGACAGGAAAGGGGACATGTGGGTGGTTGGCTGATGCAGGACAAGTGCACACTGCTGGTCTCACCACCTCTTTCCTTGCCCCCAGATACTTTTACAGAGCTGCAGTAGCCCCAGCCTTAGGAGTACAGTCAAGATTGCAAGTGTTTTAATGCACACAATGGCAGTACAGTCCTGTATATTTACACTATGGGAAAGACAGTCCTGTATATTTACACTATGGGAAAGATAGAAAGATATTTGGAATTAGTATCTTTCAGACTTATGGGTTTTTTTGTTTGTTTGTTTTGACGGGCAGAGTTAGATAGTGAGAGAGAGAGAAAGGTCTTCCTTTTTCCATTGGTTCACCCCCCAAGTGGCCGCTACGGCTGGCATGTTGCAGCCAGCATGCTGTGCTGATCCAAAGCCAGCAGCCAGGTGTTTCCTCCTGGTCTCCCATGCAGGTGCAGGGCCCAAGCACCTGGGCCATCCTCCACTGCCTTCCCGGGCCACAGCAGAGAGCTGGACTGGAAGAGGAGCAACAGGGACAGAATCCGGCGCCCCAACCAGGACTAGAACCTGGGGTGCCGGTGCTGCAGGAAGAGGATTAGCCTAGTGAGCTGTGGCGCCGGCCAACTTGTTGTTTATTTCATGAGGAGGTCAGCTTATTTCTTCCCAGGTGAGCCATTTTGTCCCTGAAAATTTAATCATAGCCTGAAATAAGAACACTTGTATCCTGGCTTATTTTATGGTAGTTGAAGAAGATGTTTTTATATGCATATGTAACCCAAATGCCAATTGTAAATTGGCTTCTGTGGGAAAACATAATCTAAGAAGTCAGAAAAAGTTCTGTGTTGGTGCTTAAGTATTGGTATGTTAATAAGTATCCCTTCATTAGCATTTAATAAACTTATTAGGATATTTCAGTACGCCTTCACATAACTAATTCCAAGCTTATATGGTTGTATGCCAGGAAAGATTGTTTTTTTCATAATAAACAGGGGAGTTATAAAAATACAACTGAGACATAACAAATGATCATGTATAATGTACTTGGAAATTAATAGTTTGAATTATACACATCCACACAAAGTGAGCACGTCATCTGCAATGCTCAAATTTCAGATGAGCAGCTTCAGAAAATAAAAGCTTTAATTTAAAACATTATTCAAGGATGTAATCAAGATTATAATGGTTCTTTTTCTTAAAGATTTATCAATTTATTTGAAAGGCAGAGAGAGCAAGAGAGAGAGAGGGAAAAGAGATAGAGAGATGGGGGAGAGAGAGCGAGAGAGCGAGCGAGCGAGAGCTATCTTCCATCTTCTAATCCACTCCCCCAATGGCCACAATAGCCAGGGCTGAGGCAGGTTGAAGCCATGGTCTTAGAACTCCATCCAGGTCTTCCTTCATGGGTGGCAGGGGTCCACGGATGGGAGCTATCTTCTCAGCACATTAGCAGAGAACTGTATTGGGAGCAGAGCTTCTGGGATGTGAACTGGTGCTCTGTGGTATGATGCCAAAGAGGCATTCATTAAACACCTACTATGCATAACACACGGCTTAAGCACTTGGAATGACCTCATAGTTAAATGTAAAGAAATAAAATTATGCAAAAAATACTACATTTAGTGTTATTCTAAATATATAAATACAATGCATTGAAACACAGAAGAATGTGGGGGATTTCAGGGAATAAA